TTACGTCTTTAAATAAACAGGGGATAATATATACTGAAATTATCAACTCTGAAATAAAAGAACACTCAAGTATTATTTAATGTCCGAAAACTATTTTTAAAAAGAAATAATTATCTAAAGTTTTTGGTTATTAACAGAAGTATAGTTTGCGAAAGTTATTAAGATCAGAGTGAATTAATGCATAATTCAGTATAATGTGATTAATAAGTAATATGCCTAATAAATTACAATATATTAAATCGTACAAAAAATTTTTATTATCACTTACTTGCATTAAACAAGTAACTTATTTCTAATTATAAAAATTTGCAATAGTTATAACATTAATAGTAAAAAGGATTTATTTCGTGAAATATAAAATATATCACTTTTACATGTAAACATAGAAAAATGAAAATAATATTCCTATGTAATATTTGTAAAAAATAATAGTGTAACAATCCTTTTCTCTTCCTTTCATTATTCTGTAGATAAACAGAAATATATGTAGCTCTACTATATGTAACTCTACGATATGTAGTACAAGAACATTTAAATTTTATGATTTCATATGGAAGGCAGTTTATGTGTACTTAAATCATTTAATAATCAGCCTCTTAAAGTTTCAAAAAATTGTGTTTAGTATTAAATCATGAAACTAAAGCTACTTAATTTTGAGACAATAAATAAATAGTATTGAGATAAAAACAATATTTTGTCACGAATAAAAAAACTGGAAGCACGTTATGTATAATTCAGTCCAAAATATTTCATTTTGCAAGATCTTATACAGTTTCTTCTTTTCATTCTGTTTTCTATATTAAATAAAAAAATTTCTTAATATTTAAATTAAAATATACTTTGTCATGCTATTGCTTGGTATGTTATTTTTTATATTATAATAAATTTTAAAGCAATTGTACTAAGACACATTATTTTTTTATAAGTTATTTATCTTTTTTGATCTGAATATTTTAAATTAACTATACAATAAGCAATAGATCAATATTTTGGATAATCATTTGCAAAAGCGTCGCAATACGATGTAACTTCTTTAATATATCACTTTTCGATGACGGATCATTATTGTGTGAGATTTCATATATAATTCTCTTATATATATTTGCCCCGCCCATCGTTCAATACTGTATCAGCTATTATTTTGCTACATTTTGGATACTGTATGTAACAACAAAATTCCTAAATTATGTGTATAATTGGTTACAGAAGTACTTATATTCTTTCTTATAACCGTGAATTTCAATTTGGATCATAATTCTTGTATGTAACCAGTCTTCTACGGAGCTTTTCATGTACGTAAGCTTGAATAATAAAATTATATTATAAATATCTGAACAAAATTTAAATAGAAATAATATTTATTAAACACTTTACCTCTTTGAAATTCTGATATGCATAGAATACTTTAAGCCTTCAATGTGATTTATTTTTAATTTATAAATTATGTGAATGTGTCTAAAACAGCCAGTTAAGATATGAAAAGACAGATTTGTTGTGATAAAAATAGTAATCAATTTTTAGACTTACACTTGAGGATGTAATTCGGAGATGTATTAATAATGATGCAAGTTCTAGGTCTTCGCTGTAATTATTTTTCAATGGAACACTTCTGTAGCCTGATCGTAAACATCGCACCTAAATATACAAATATATTAAAAACTATAATATACAATTACTAATATTAAAAGAATATTTTTGTAACTTATACATACAGGATATGTGGCTTGTCCAATAAAGTTACTATCACCAAACATATCTTCATCCTGTACAACGAATCGTATGAATGCAAGATAAGGATTAAAAACTTCAAATTCACACGACTCATTCCACATAGGATTAAATCCATTATCAGCTATAATTTTAATACGATTATTATATAATTGTCAAAATTATTGAATACATCACACTAGTATACTTACGTATCGTTTTCGTTGTTATTTTTGTTCCAGTATCAAAATCTGCTCCTATAATTTCAACTTCAACAAAAGGTGAGGCTATACCCCTTCCTGATCTCATTAAATGTCTTGCACCAATAATTTTTAAATTAAATTTAAGGGTTTCTATACCATGTAACGAATTTTTATCTTGTGGATTAAAATCTTCTCTAAACATAAATTCCGGTTTTAACGTATAACCGCAATTACCATTTTCTCTAAATTTTGCCTGATTGAGCTGCATCGATTTATCTCCAGTTTGATAATTTAATGCTACCATCTGACATCCGGAATTCCACATTGGTACAGGATTGTAATTAGATGAATCAATGCGTTGACCTTTAGGATATACTCTGCTAAACTGGATCTATAAAATTACTCGTATTATTAAAGAGACATCTGACCTTGCAAAAATTACATATGTTCATAAGTTTTTTTTATTGTTTTACCTGATGGTATTTTAAGAAAAATTTGTTTTCTTGTTGACACATAAGTTTTTCAGCTTTTGTTTCAGGAAAGCTACTCATTTCATTAAATATAAATCCTTTTGTCCTTATTCTTTCTATATTAAATGCTACCGATCTACAATAAACTATTAAATTTGACATTTCCTTTGCTATTCTCCACGCGCGTTCCATTTCTTTGTGCTGATTTTCCTATAAAATATATACACGAGTAATTTTAAAAAGAATTTATTATTTGATCAATTTTAAACTATAAAAATGTGTATGCTCACTCTAACGCTTGCGTTTTGGGCAGTCTCTTTAATACTGGACATCCATTCTAATGCTGTATCTTTGGAAGAAGTTGCTACTTCAAACACTGTACACATACTAGGATTTTGAATTCTTAATCTCCACTCTAATCCAGGTCTGTCTCCTCTTAATTCCACGACAGCGCCCATAATATCCAACGAACCTTTTTGAAGATTACCAAACATCATTGAATCTGTTGACTAAAAATAATAACAAATT